CATTTTGAGATTCTCTTATACGAGAGAGAGGAAGTTGATTAAGGCAATTATTAAGTATACTTGTTTGGGGTCTATATTTTGTTTTTGGATTGCACAACACTTTCCTTCAAGAGAGTGGCAGTTGAATTGTTAACTGCTGTATGATCAGAATATTAGCTGCTAGATATAATAGTTACCATACAATCTAAATACAGTTGTTAACTTGACTTCTCTTTCCAACTTGATGAAGAGGGATGTTTAACTGGAAGGAGCACATCTCTCCAGTGTAGAATTAAAGCAGTTTGACACCACCTTTAACTGCCTGGGAGTTGTAGTTTAGTGAGGCACCAGCATTCACTGGCAGAGAAGGCTAAAGGCCTTGCCAGAACTACAGCTCCCATAGCATTGAGCCATGGCAATTAAAGTGGTGTTGAACTACATTAATCCTACAGTGGAGATGCACCCATATTCTTCATCACTGATATCTTGTATAGTAGCTATGACATTGTACTGTAGTTATATCTTACTTGTTGAGGAGTAACCCCCAGCGGTGCCTTTGGACTACCTATCACCTGATTTATCATATTCTCTCCAAGTATAGCAGGGGAAGGCAGGCTTGGCCTAGCAGCTTGGATGCCTTCCCAGATATCCCCTCCTCCTTGCTTCTGCGTGGGGTTAGCTAAGGAGACACACGCTTCCAGGCCGCTGAGTGTGCTTGAGCTTCTTCCGCATGCAATTCTTGGGGGGTTTTGTGCCTCTCAGGAACCAGTCGATGGAAGAGTCTGCTGTGATCAAGCTTCCTGAGAGGTGGATACTAAAACCTTAGGTGCATTTACAGCGTAGAATTAATGCAGTTTGGCACCACTTTGATTGCCATGGCTCAATACTGTGGAATCCTAGAATTTGCATTTTGGTGAGGCACCAACACTCTTTGGTAGAGAAGGCTAAAGGGTTTGTAAAACTACAGTGCACCTGATTGAGACATCAGCCTGTTTCCCGGCTAAAGTTTTGTCCCCCTGTTCAGCTGTCTGTTCCAGGGATTGCAGGATCATGTTGACAAAGTTAAACAAGGATATTTACAGGCCCCATTTCTGTTTAACTTTTCATATTAATGACATCATTGGTGGCAACTTCTTTCCCACCTGCAGACAAAAGAGGGTTGCCTTTGCACATATTAGCTCTAGCCTGGGATTTTTGAAATGTGTTTTCTAGAGCCCTCAGAATAGTTTATGTGGTGAGGATGATATTTGCTCCTGCAGAAACAAGCAGGGCTCCCCGTCACAAAGCAAAGTCTGGGTGTGTCTGAAACAAGGTACACCATAAAGCTGTCCTTTTAGTGACAAAAAACGGTGTAATCAATTTTCTAAGAAGATTGGGTTTTATCCCTCATTCAGTGGAAATCAGCAGTTGATCCTCTACATTTGCAGAGTTGACTTTTGCAGATTTGAAGTGTTCATAGAATCATAGAGTTAGAAGAGACCTTGTGGGTCATCCAGTCCAACCCCCTGCCAAGAAGCAGGAAAATTGCAATCAAAGCACCCCCGACAGATGGCCATCCAGCCTCTGTTTAAAAGCCTCCAAAGAAGGCGCCTCCACCACACTCTGGGGCAGAGAGTTCCACTGCTGAACAGCTCTCACAGTTCTTCCTAATGTTCAGATGGAATCTCCTTTCTTGTAGTTTGAAGCTATTGTTCCGCGTCCTAGTCTCCAGGGCAGCAGAAAACAAGTTTGCTCCCTCCTCCCTATGACTTCCTCTCACATATTTATATATGGCTATCATGTCTGCTCTCAGCCTTCTCTTCTTCAGGCTAAACATGGCCAGCTCTTTAAGTCGCTCCTCGTAGGACTTGTTCTCCAGCCCCTTGATCATTTTAATCACCCTTCTATGGACACATTCCAGCTTGTCAACATCTCCCTTCCATTGTGATGCCAGAATTGGACACAGTATTCCAGGTGTGGTCTAACCAAGGCAGAATAGGGAGGTAGCATGACTTCCCTTGATCTAGACCAGGGGTAGGGAACCTTTGGCCCTCCAGCTGTGGTGGACTTCAACTCCCACAATTCCTTGAGGCTCAGCATTCGCCCCAAAGGCTTACCTTGGCCCAATGCCGAGCCTCAAGGAATTGTGGGAGTTGAAGTCCACCACAGCTGGAGGGCCAAAGGTTCCCTACTGATCTAGACACTATACTCCTATTGATGCAGGCCAAAATCCCATTGGCTTTTTTGCTGCCGCATCACATTGTTGGCTCATGTTTAACTTGTTGTCCATGAGGACTCCAGGATCTTTTTCACACGTATTGCTCTCGAGCCACGCGTCCTCTATGTCCCTACTATGACTTTCTGGGGGATACCTAAAACCCTGGATAATAGCGAGCTCTATATTTCAAGTATACTTGTGATAGGACCATAGCATTGGAGGACCTAGAGATTCCCTGAAATATTGTACTTTGGGAGGGGTGGAATATTTTATAAAAGTCAAAGAATGTATGTTTGTTGGTTAGTTGGTTTGATCTGCAGAGGCTCCTACATAGCTTAATGGGTCAGACCAAACTTGATACCCATCATAATCCAATTTATAATACTGGCAGAGCTTGGGGGGGGGGGGGGGGCTGATAAGGGATGATGAGAGTTCTAGTCAAGCCACATTCAAACAGCCATGTGATTTCCACCTACAACTGAAGGTGTGGCTCTCCTAACTGATCAGGCAGCTCAGACTACCTGGCCAGGATAAATCTCCCAATATCTTTACCACTTTGCTAGGAAGGATGGGGATGATGGGAGTTAGCACATTTTATGAATGTGATTATTCATGAGATAAGTCTCCCACAGGATAGTAAAATATCCAGGTGTCCACTGGGCAATGTCCTTGTAGACAGCCAATTCTCTCACACCAGAAGCGACTTGCAGTTTCTCAAGATGCTCCTGACACACACACACAATGAATATTTTCTAATAAATACCATTACAAATGCCTGACCCAGACAATGCCAGGTAAATATGCTAGGACTGAAAGTAGGAAAAGATTCAAGAGTTACCCTCCCTTTTCCATATAGTGCTCTTATCTGCTGGGCCAGACCTTGAATATTTATCAGAAGGGTAAGTCTGAACTGACACTCCTCATTTCAACCAAGGCAGTAGCAAGCTGATTGCTGTCCTGTGCTTCTAAAAAGTATTTCAGGATATGAAAAGGCTGAATAACTCTTCTTGTTTTAGGTGAGTAGAAGCTGGCATTCCCCACCACACTCCCTGCCAGCTGGCTGTGTTTCTCCCACTCCCCTTGCTTTTTGCAAGAGTCTTCTTTGCACAGAGCTGCCCTGGTTGTCTCGATCATTCATGCTTTATATGGCATCCAGCTGTTAGGCAAGGTCACTGCTTGGTGGATCTTAGGATGTGAGGTAAATATCTTGGCTTGGTTTCCAAAAACCAGAAGAGAAGCATGGCAGATGCTAGTGAAGCAGCCAGCTTTCCTCTTTGGGATGAATTCTACACTCAAACGAAGTAAGGGAAATGTTTAACTTTTAGGTAGTGTATCGACCCTCCAATAAACCATTCTATCTCAGTGCAGGATTTGCTTTGTTCTTTGTATTTTTCTACTAGTGTGATGTAGTTATTAGAGTTTGGGTTTTGTTTTTTCGTGTCAGAAGCGACTTGAGAAACTGCAAGTTGCTTCTGGTGTGAGAGAATTGGTCATCTGCAAGCACGTTGCCCAGGGGGACGGCCGAGTGTTTGGTGTTTTACCATCCTATGGGAGGCTTCTCTCATGTCCCCGCTCTCCTCAGATTTGAACCGCTGACTGATACGGGTTTAAATTGTGTTAGATTTTAGCCTGTTCTTGTAAGCCGCTCCGAGCCCCAGGGGAGTGGCGGCATATAAGTTCGAATAATTAATAAATAAATAAATAAATAAATAAAATAACTAATTGCGCCACTAGGGGCTCCAGTTATTAGAGTGCCAGACTGGAATTTGGGAAATCCAGATTCAAGTTCACTTATGAAACTCACTTTCCTGCCCTGATCTGCTTCACAGGGTTATTGTGAGACAAGAAGGATGAGCTCTATCCACAGCTCACCCAAAGATGTACATGCAATAAGTAGTAAGAAGGGTTTTTAAGGGCACATTAGTTGCCATGTGCATTTGAAAGTGGACCTTGGATGGGTTCAGAGCGTCCTATGAAATGATGTGGAGGATAATATTCCTGTTTCTTCCTGGCTTTTTCATTAAATTTAGGAAAATTCATAATTTTCTGTTTTCCTTGGGTTTCTTATCAAGTATGGTAAAATTCTTTTCATTCTTTGGCTTGACTTGGCCAGCCAATTTGTCAAGTGGTAACACATCCATAAATAATAATTAAAATTCACAAAAGATTATATACTGTGATAAGTCCCTTTTTGTGCCTTCAAGCCATTTTAACTTATAGCAACCCTAAAACTAACCTGTCACAGGTATTTCTTGGCTTTATTTGTTCAGAGGGAATTTGCCTTTGCTTTCCTCTGGGCCTGAGAGAAAGTGACTTGCCCAACATTATCCATAGCTGAGCAAGGAGTCAAACCATGATCTCCAGAGTCATACTCCAGTGCTCAAAGTACTACATTACAATGTCTTTTGTGCATTATAAGTTACAGCTCGGCACATAGTTGCGTGTAATTGTCATTATAAAAACCAGCATGGTATCATGGTTTCAGAGTTGGACTAGAGCTGAAGACAAGGATTCAAATTCCCATTTAGCCATGGAAGCCTACAAGGTGACCTTGAGCAAGTCATATTCTCTCAGCCTCAGAGGAAGGCAAAGGCAACCCCCTCTGAACCCTGTGATAGGGTCACCTTACGGTTGCCATACATCAGAAACCACTTCAAGGCACACAACAGCAACAACAGCTTGTCCTTAATCACCGGTAAGATGAAAAGGAAGCTTTTCTTTATTCACGTAGTGTTTGCATGGCGGAAATATTCAACCCAGTAGGTGCCTTATATAGTTGATCATGCAGCCACTTCTGACCTCTTTGGCCATTTTTTTTTGTAAGGAGCTCGCAGCAATGCCAAGATGGAGTCCGCAGCCAGTGACGACGAGGCAGCCAGCGAAGTCCTGAGTCACTACAGCAGTGCCAGTGAGGGCACCAGCGTGGCTGAGGAGGTACCAGGTGGGTGCGAGTCAGCCATAGCACCAGAAATAGATGTTGATGTCAACAGTATTTCAGTTGCACTATGTATGTATGTTTGGATGATCCACATTAAGCAATTCAGAAAAGCAACCATTAAAAAAAAATAGTATGTAGGAGTGTGAATGCATGGAGGGAACTGAGAAGGAAGGCCTGGTAGTCATCAAAAAGAAGGAGGAGTGGGAGGCACTTTTATAAAGATTTCAAGAAGAAAATTCCACTGTGTGTTTAGGCTCATTAGAATTTCTGACTTCAGGCAACCAAACAAGGGAATATTTACCAGAGTTAGTTTTTTGGGGTTGCGAATGACTCATAGGTTTGCATTGGCCAATAGGGTCATAATTCACCAGTCTCACAAAACATAACAACCTGGCACCGGATAATGATTGGTTATATTTGAATTGAAATTAAGTGTTTTAGTGTGTTATAGATGCCACTCTACCATATGACCATAGACAAAACACACCTCTGAGACTTTGTGCTTATTTTAAAAATTTTAATTTATTACATCTGGCCCGGCCATAAGGTTTTCAACTCTGTGTGGTATTGTTTATATGTAAGTTATATTAATTGTGCTGTTTTATTTGCTTGCTGTTTTGTTTTACTGGTGTGTTGTTGGGCTTAGCCTCATGTAAGCCACCCCGAATCCCCTTGGGGAGATGGTGGCGGGGTATAAATAAAGTATTATTATTATTATTATTATTATTATTATTATTATTATTTGTTTTACCTGACGCCCTTCCACCAAAGCGGTCATCAGAAGTGGCTTTTAGCCAAAGGATTCAAAATATAAAAGGGTTCTGTGCTTTTATTAAAACTTCGTTCATTACAATATAACTTCATCTGGACTAGCGCTGTTGAGCTAACAACAGCTGCCAGAACAATTCCTATCTCCAGAATTGCCAAAAGTGCACTGAACAAAAACTCTGTTGAGACACGAGTATAAAGGATCCTTTTGCAGCCTTGCCATCAGGCACTTGTTTGCTGCCCTTGTTCTGATTGCTGTAGGAGTGGAGGATCAGCTGGCCACAGGATGGGTCTCTCAGATATGGCTTTGACACTTTCCCTCCTCTTCTGCTTGTTACAGGGGGAGAGGTGGTGGATGAGCAGGCACAGCAAGAGGAGGTGGAAGATAAACTGAAGGAATGTATCGACAATGTGATGGATAAAAGGTGAGGCCCATCTACTCTTCTCAGATTGGGTTCTGGTATCCCTGCTCCTCCATGACTGTTCCATATTAATAGGCTGGATAAAGATCCTCATTTGGAGAATATAGTTCCTTGCTTTTAGTACAGTTAGCCCTAAGTATCCATTGCTTCTGTATCCACAGATTCCCTTGCTCACAGCTTGAAAATATTAAACATGAAATTCCGTAAAGCAAACCTTGCTTTTGCTATTTTATATTAGAAATGTCATTTTACTACAGCTTTGTATATAATAGGATTTGAACATCCACCAATTTTGTTATCCATGGGGTAGATAAAGAAGGCCCACTATATTCCTTTCCTTAAAAAAACATTATCAGACTCATGGAGCTGCCATAAGTCAACAGGCAACATAAAGCTGCAGGCACACACTTTAGTCCAGTGATTCTCAACCCAACCTGCCGCGACCTCTTAATACGGTTTCTCATGTTGTGGTGACCCCCAACCATAAAATTATTGTCATTACTACTGTAACTTTGCTACTGTTATGAATCATAATGTAAATATCTGATATGCAGGATGTAGGTTCATTCACTGGACCAAATTTGGCACAAATACCCAATACGCCCAAATCTGAATACTGATGGGGGGGGGGTTGGGGGGAGGGTGATTGATTTTGTCATTTGGGAGTTGTAGTTGCTGGGATTTATAGTTCACCTAGAATCAAAGAGTATTTTGAACTGAACCAAACTTGGCATGACCAACCCCCATGACCAACAAAAAATACTAGAATGGTTTGRTGGACATTGACCTTGAGTTTTGGAGTTGTAGTTCACCTATGTCCAGAAAGCACTGTGGACTCAAACAATGATGGATCTGGACCAAATTTGGCACAAATACTCAATATGCCCAAATGTGAACACTAATGGAGTTTGAGGAAAATAGACTGTGACATTTGGGAGTTGTAGTTGCTGGGATTTATAGTGCACCTACAATCAAAGAGCATTCAGAACCTCACCAATGATAGAATTGGGCCAAACTTCCCACACCGAATCCCCATGACCAACAGAAAATACTATGTTTTTTATGGCCTTTGGCGACCCTTCTCTCCCCCTCGCGACCCCCCAAGGGTCCCAATCACCAGGTTGAGAAACGCTGCTTTAATTCTTTTTGGCCTTCACCAGCAGCATCAGACTGAGGTAGGTGGGTTGCAGTTCCATTGAGAAGAACCCGGCAAAAGTGCATAGAAGCCTTGGCGTTGTTCCTGATTGCACAGTGTGATTTGCTGTTGGTCTTTTGGGCATGCAGCCTGCTCATTCAGAGTGAACTTTTGAACCATCGTTTTAGGGTATTTTTTAAACCATGTTTCATTCTCTGCCTGTCTCCTTCATTTATTCTTCTCTTCTTGTCTCACGATTCTTTGTGTAACCTGAGGTTCTTCATGCCTGGGGAAAATCTTAGTCCCTGTTGGGCTCCCTGTCTTTGCATGCAAGTCCCTGCGGTTTGTCAGCTGGATGATTCTGTGTTGCCTTTTGTTCTTTCAAGTGTTCTTGCTTTGTTCCACGAGGGCATCAAGGACATCAATGGATTTGGAAGGGAGGGGTCACTTGACGCCAGAGTTGAAGCCTACGTACCAATCCGTACAGCTTCATGATGTGTATTTAGATATATGATTCATCGTGGCATTAGGATGTGAAACCCTGATATATTCTCTGGTGGATTACATAAAATATAAAATTGCATCCTTGTATAAGTTCAAATAAAAACCGCATTGGACCTGGATCCCTGTAATAGCTAAAATTATAAAGTGACGTGCATATTAACCAGTGTACTGGATCAGTGCTGAGTTTAGCATCTGATACCAAATACAAAACTTGATTGTTGTGTTACAATCCAATACAAATCCACAAAGTTACGGGCTTTGTGTTCTATGAGAACTGATGATTTATGCATAAGGTCTCCCATCAGTGACACCAAAAAAAAAAAATCGTATTTTGTACAATTCTGGCTGTTCTGTCAATTAATACATACATAGAATGGGGATAGAAATGGAGTAAATAAATAAATAAATAGATCTCATGTTCTCTTGGCTTCTACAATCTATGATGTTGATGATGATTTTGGGATTTTGGGACAGGGGGAAGCATACTACCTGTTATTAAGTATCATTATTATCAGCAGGAACAGAATTATTTGTGTTTGTATCTTTCTTTTCTCCCGAAATTAGATCTTAAAGCAGCTAAAATGTTTTTTAAAAAACAATACAATTAAAAACAAAAAGTGAATGTTGCAATATAATTCAGCTATTCACGATATAATATAACTATTCACAATACTAAAATAGTTCAGAAGAGGAACTCAATGTAAATGTGCATAGTTAGACGCACTTGCTATTTTTGGTGTTATAATACTTGAGGTGAGGGGACTGTCAGGGTAATGTTGCCAGACTGTGACCTTTCATCTCTCCTTCTTAACACCTTTCTAGCGCCAAGACCCGACAAATTGCTCTTGAGAGCCTACGGATAGCATTCTCCTCCAAGACACTCTTTGACTTCCTGTTGGAACGAAGGCTCACCCTCACTGATTCTTTAGAGAAGTGCCTGAAGAAAGGTAGGTCTTTCCAGCCTTTTTTTTTTTTTAAATAAACTGTTTATTTTATTTATGGTACATAACAGAAAAGCAAATCATAACAGATATAGTCAATCAACCAATTAATTTTGACATTGAGTACATATTATTATCAGTTACTTAAAACATATAGACTTGCTGTTTCTACATATTATCCACTGTTTTCAGTCTAAGCTTTCTATTCAATTTTTCCATAACTTTCAAAGAACCAACACACGACATATTACATACAGCAGACCATAACTCATCCCAAAACCCCTATCCCACACAAAATAAAACATCTTCCCCACACGCGTGCACCCTTCACCATGACTTCCAACAGTGAAACACTTTGAAGCCTTTAAGCCTATTTATCTATCCTTGTTCATAGTACCGTATATTCCGGCATATAAGACGACTGGGCGTATAAGACGACCCCCAACTTTTCCAGTTAAAATATAGAGTTTAGCATATACTCGCCATATAAGACCACCCCCCTTCCAATGCACACTAAATGAAAATTTTAAAAAATCAGATTTGAATTCAATATGGTAATTTTAATTCAAATGCTTATGAGAAGCAGGTTCCTATGAGAGGGACATTGTACCTTACATTGTACATTACAGTTGCTCTTTCTCCTTGAATTTCATTTACACTCTGGGTCCTTTACATCATGCTGGCAATAAATTAAAATAAACAGTTGCAATAAATAATACTCATTTAAAGCAATTAAAAAACTAGCCAAGGTAAAGTGTCATTATCAGTTCCCTTTTGCCTTCTCTCAGGCTTCTCCTATTGACGCAGCCTAAAATGGCATTGGCCTTTTCAGCTACAGCATCACACTATTGCTTGTGGTCGACGAAGATCTCTTTCACAGAATCCTAAAGTTGRGAGGGACCTCTAAAGGCCATTTAGTCCAACCCCCTTCATTTTGCCATCATGTAGGGAAAGCAMAATCAAAGCACCCCTGACAGATGGCCATCCAGCCTTAATATTAACATGAATAATAATAATAATAATAATAATAATAATAATAATAATAAAGTTGGAAGGGAGCTCTAAAGGCCATCTAGTCCAACACCCTTCATTCTGCCTTAATACAGGAAAAGTACAATCAAAACACCCCTGACAGATGACCACCCAGCCTSAGTAACAACAACATCAATAATAATAATAACATTAATACTAATAAATAGTTGGAAGATATCCCTTAGGCCATTTAGTCCAACCACCTTKTGCTTTCATGCATCAAATCCACAATCAAAGCGCCCCTGACAGATGGCCACCCAGCCTCAACAACAACAACAACATTAATACTAATAAAGAGTTGGAAGAGACCAGCCTCCTTCCTCACGCTGCCTCTTTCCTCACTGAGCCCAGCTGGGGCCCGACGGAGCGTCAGGCCTGCGCCACGCTGCTCCTGGAGGCTGAAGACAGAGGCTGGAAGCCTCGCTGGCAGCACCAGGGGCGGGCGCGCTCACCAGCGCTGGCCTGCGTAGCCCTGGAAGTCAGGCAAGCAGGCCGCTGCGAGCGGAGRTYCTCATCCRCWGMCTYGGCTGCTTCGSCTCYAGTGTCGCTACCATTTGTCATCTGCTATATCCGGGAGATTAGACGACCCCCAACTTTTCAAAGGATTTTAAAGGCTTAGAAAGTCGTCTAATAGCCCAGTTTTTACGGTAAACCTACATTCCTAATGAAGCTCCTCTATATTACTGATTCTCTATTCAGATATGTCATGGTCAGCTTCCATTTTTCTCAGAGGTCTTTCCAGCCTTTGAGATTGTCCTGTTTTTATGGTATTTGAGACATAGAATAATAGTTTTGGAAAGCCATCTTGTTCAACTGCTTGCCTTGCATGAATAAACAACTAAAGAGCTCCTGAAAGACTCCATTCAACCTCTCCACCAAACTCTGAGGCAGTCTATTCCATTGTTGGACAGTGCTTGAAGTATAGAAGATCTTCCGAATGCGTAGATGAACTCTCTCTTCTTATAATTTGTTTCTTGTCCTAGTCTCTGGAATAGCAGAAAACAAAATCACTTCATTTTCCACAAGACGCTCCTTCAGATATTTAAAGATTATTATCATATCGCCTCTCAGTCTTTTGGTTTCCAAGTTAAACATTCCCAACTCCTTTAGTCATTCCCCATAAGGTTTGGTTTCCAGACCTGTATTAATTTTGGTCATTTTTCTCTGGACATGTTCCATCTTGTCAATATCCTTCTTGAATCTCAGACTTGTACAACAGGATTCCAGATGAGATCTGACCAAATTAGAACAAAGTGTTGTATTGTTTCCCTTAATCTGGACACTATATTGTTGTTAATGCAGCCCAGATTTGTGGTGGCTTTTTGGGTTGCTACATCACACTGTTGACATATGTTTGGCTTTCGGTCTACTAAGAGCCCTAGGTCCTTTTCACACATATGGATTTCAAGCCAAGAATCACCTATCCTATTTTTGTTCATTTCATTTTTCTTACATAGATGTTGTAGCTTGCATTTATCCCTTTTAAAACTCATGTTAGCTTTGGCCCAATTCTCCAATCTTTTAAGGTCATTTTGGATTCTGATTCTGTCCTCTGGGGTGTTAGCTATCCCTCCCAGTTTGGTATTATTAGTAAGCATGCCTTCTATTCTATCGTCCAGTTCATGGATAAAGATGTTGAATAGCATTGGGACCAGGACAGACCCCTGTAGCACCCCACTAGTCACTTCTCTCCAGGATGAGGAAGAGCCATTGGTTAGCTCAGAACCCTTTGGGTTTGGCTGTGCAGCCATTTAGAAATCCTCCAAACAGCCAGCTTTTTAGCTGTGTTCTTGGTGTATTTATTTATTTACTTACAGTACTTATATTTTGCCCTTCTCACCCCAAAGGGGACTTAGGGCAGATCACAGAACACATATATGGCAAACATTCAATGCTGATTATACAATTACAAGACAGACAACAAATAGAGGTATATTTTAGGCGCTTCCTCATCATTCGGCATTTTTGGGGGGCTGTGTTCAGTTCCGGCCACAGGGGGGTGCTGTCACTCCATCTACTTGTCAAAAAGCTTTCTTTGTTCATAAACTTTGCTCTGAAACTCTGTGCCTAAAATACCTCCCCACTTAATGCAGTTCCTATTCATCTACTCACATTGCTATTTTCAATCTGCTAGATTGGCAGGGGAGCTGGGCTGAAAGTCAGGAGCTCACCCTGAACCAGCTTTGAACTGTCAACCTTTTGATTGGCAAGGTTTACTGCAGTTGTAGCTGGTGATTAACCTGCTGTGCTGAAGCCGGCCCTTTATATCCTGTAGCCTCATTTTTATCTGACATCACCTTAGAGTTCTGTGAAAGATTCTCCTCTGCCAGAGGCTAAAGAATACCACATGATGGTGATGATGCTTTATTTATATCCTGCCCCCTCTCCCCAAGGGGACTCGAAACGGCTTACAACAGGAAAGACAATATAAATAATAATAAACACAAAACACTTAGTGAGCTGCTGGTCTCTGCACAATCCATAAACTCATTATGACACCATGCTCAGTACTGCAGTAGACCCAACTCTTCAGTACAGAACCTCTGTAAAAGTGGGAAATAAAAAAGCACCATTTTTATTTAAGATAACACCTTTCTAAGAATCCCTAGGTCTTCCAGTACAACTTTATGGTGAACTTCTGCTGGATGTTGGCCATGCAGTTGCAGTGGAGGACCTACAGATGTCTAGAGAAGTGTTGTCTGTAGGTCCTCTGGCGCAACTCTGTGGTCAACTGACCACAGAATCATGTTGGAGGACATAGTGATTCCAAGAAGAGAAGACATAGCAATCAAATCCATGAATAATCAAATCAGCAAAACACACAAATGTAGAGGAGGGATTGTCATATATGTTTCAAGTGTCACTTGTACATTTTGTGACACAACTGTGTCTCTTTTTCCTCACAGGTAAAGGAGAGGAGCAGTCCCTTGCTGCTACTGTTCTCACACTACTGTGCCTTCAGATGGGATCAGGACCTGAAGGGGAGGAGGTGTTTCGCAGCCTCAAGCCTTTACTCATCACTATCCTGACTGACTCCTCGGCCAGCCCAATCGCACGACAAAGTGTGAGTACAGCCTTTTCCTTCTGTCTTGGAAGTGAACCTCAATGTGTGAGAGCACTTGTGGGATGGGATAAAATATTCAAAGTAGTTGCTCAGAATGACCATGCCAATTATTTGCCCTTTCTCTCTCTCTCTCTCTCTCTCTCTCTTAGTGTGCCACGGCTCTGGGGATGTGCTGCTATATCGCTGCTGCCGACATGGAGGTAAATAATGCAGAGATTTTGTGAGCTACTAAGCCTAAAAGAAATAACTGTTCTCTAGTACTAAAATTAAGCATGTGAGCAGGGCTGGGGTGTGCTTTATTCTTTAAGGGAAGTGAATTTAGGCATTTTCTAGTTCTCTTAAACAACTAAATACCTAATGGCTTCTGTAAAAGGCTCAGTTTTGCTGTCTAGACATGCCTTGAGTAGATGAAATGATGCATATCTAAAAAGATGTGTCACAAACACAAAATATTTGGAAGTTCCATTCTACATAAACCACCACGAACTCCTATAATAAAATAGAATAAATCATATTTACCATGGCACAATTTGTATAACAGATTAATTAGAGAGACTCTTCTGTCTTAATTTCATCCATACTATTCATCGTTCATTTTGTTTTTGTTTCTTTTTTCAGGATCTGGTTTCCTGCCTTGCCTGCCTGGAGGGTATATTTGGTACGTCCTGCAGCACAGATGCCAGCCTCGTGCCCTCCCACCACAGCCCTCTGCTCCAGAACCTGCATTGTAGTGCACTCCAGTCTTGGTCCCTGCTCCTTACCATCTGCCCAAGTACCCAGATCAAGAAGATCCTGGACAAGTAAGCGATCTGTCTTGCCAAGCAGGGTTTCTGGATCATCCTCTACTCACTGTGAGAGGTGATACAAGCCATCTATTTAGTGTTTTAATCTAGGCAGCCCACAATTGCCATGGCTCTCTGGCTCTTTGAGAACATAAATAGCCAGGACACTTGAGGTAGGGAAGCAGATTCCTCACAGCATGGACCTTTGAAGGTTTATTTTGTTAAAACTGTCAACCTTCCCTCTACCTCTCTCTTCTCCCCTTCTGCAGTCACTTACCTAAGTTGCCTCTGATGCTGTCCAGTGATAACGTCAACCTTCGGATTGTTGCGGGGGAAACAATTGCACTTCTGTTTGAACTGGCCCGAGATATGGAGGTACAACACTACGCTTCTGATTCTTGTATAAGCATACACACTTTCCATTAATGGCCATTTCTGATTGCTTTGCAGGAACATACCCCATACCACCTACCCACCCCATTATTATTCAGGGAAAGTATGTCATTGAATGCCACACTTAGATGCTGCTTGGATGCAACAATAGGAAAATTCTTGTCCAGTTTATGGGTTCCTTAGGAAGTTTATCTGAGTAGCCTGTGTGGGACACGGGTTGCTGGGCTGGATAAATATTTGGATTTGAACTAGCAAGAAAGCTCTTACATCCCTTTCCAATAAATTGGAATACTGTGTGGAGTTGTCAAGGTTGTTTTGGGATCATTGTCATCCAGGAACAAGTTGTTCCTGTCCCCCCGTCCCCCCTCTGCCTTTATTAATTAATTGAGAGATTATAATGGTAATCATTGAGGTCCCCTTTAGCTTGATAATAGTCAAAGACTGCTCTTAAATTACTCCCACTTCTTATTAAATGCCAGCACTGTTCACATTTTGTTGGTTTTTTTGCAAAAAATCACTCTACCATAGCCAGTCAATAGATTAAGGATACAAAATATCCTTTTTCCTCGCAGGAGAGAATGCTTCTGGAACATGACCATACAGCCCAAAAAACTCACAGCAACCCAGTAACCAAGTTGGTGTGGATTTCATCAGTTTACTGCATTAGAGGGAGCCCCAAGTGGTGCAATGGGTTAAACCCTTGTGCTGGCAAGACTGCTGACTGTAAGGTCGGCGGATTGAATCCGGGGAGCAGGGTGAGCTCCTATCCAGCTTCTCATTCAGGGAAATGAGAGAAACCTCCCACAGGATGGTAAAACATCTGGGCGTTCCCTGGGCGACGTCCTTGCAGATGGCCAATTCTCTCACACCAGAAGCAACTTGCAGTTTCTCAAGTCTCTCCCGACACAGGGGAAAAAACTGCATTAGAGAACCTCTGAGTCCGGCATATGTTCTGCTGGGTTAGCTAAAAGGAGAGTGGGAGGCAAATGTGAACAGGAAAGCTTAGAGGCTCTTTCACTTGCCTTTTCAAAAGAATGTGACATGAAAGTAGAAGCTGTAGGGTGACATCTTATCATCTTTCCTTTGCCACAGGAGGATTTCTTTTATGAAGACACTGACTTGCTGTGCACAAAATTGAAAGCTTTGGCCACAGACAGCAACAAGTACCGAGCCAAGACAGACAGACGCAAGCAACGTTCCATCTTTCGCGATGTGCTACATTTCATTGAGGTGCCCTGCCTGGCTCTTGCCATCCCTGTTCAGTTGTGGAAATGGGTGGATCTTTTCCCCAAGCATCTCTTCAGCACTGAATTTTATTAAAAGAGACCCAGGGACTCAAGTTTCTGCTTCTGCCACCTCTATTGCTGACTTGTGAAGCAGAGGCTGGGACAGTCAATCCTGAGGAGTGCACAATCTGTGCATGTCTAGGGGAATTACCTGGCCGCGTCCCTTTTTCCGTATGGATTTACTCTTCCACTGGCCTTTAAAATACACCCCCGAGTGCATTGTAGGTTCAAATGCAGGGACACCTTCATATTCTTAGAAAGAGACCCCCTCCCCCATCTCCATATATCACTAAAAATGCATGAGAGTGACTGCTACTGATTCTAAAAGGAGCAAATGCCAAAACTGCTCGGGTCAGCCTTGTCTTTTCATCTCTCAGGATATGATAACCAAGAAGCAGTTCAGATGTCCAGAGCTCTGTGAAACTGGTACCATGACAGAACAAGTGGCACCCACATTGCTTGAGTGGAATCAGAAATGCCCATGCAATGAGTACACTTGCAGTTTCATGAAGTGGTTGCTCTTCCCAAGCATTCAGTGAAGGACAGGGTTGTCTGATGCGTTGCCCTTGTGAATGTTTGGCAAACGAGGCCTTCTGCCCTTTGCTGTGGAGCTTCTAAATGCCTGTTTTCCCTTCTGCAGAATGGGGAGTGCCATGAGGAAACCATCAAGTTTGGATTAGAGTGCATGTATGTGGACAGCTGGGCAAGGAGGAGAATGTACAACGCTTTCAAAGAAGCTCTTGGCTCTGGAGTCAGGCACCATCTGCAGGTAAGAAATGACTGCAGCAGAGGAAGAAATGCTGCACCTGTATATGTGTGAAGCAGGGAGGAGTCTGATGCCCTTCATGGCTGCTGGAAATAGCAACCTCCCAAACCTTTCACTATTCATTTGTTAATGTATATATTTGCTAACCTTTATTTTATGTGTATGTTGTTTTGTCAGTTTGACTTTGGTGTGGGAGGGGTTATAGACATGTGAATTGTACTTAGCATGTTCAGACTCAGGACTCCATTTTGTATTCAGTATCTGCTTACCACCTCATTGGAGGTGGATGTATCTGCTTTAGACCTCAGTGGAGGTCGATGCATGTATGCTTTAGAGACTTTAATAGAGAAGTATGACTTATGGACTTCAGCGACTACAGCTATACTTAAAGACTATGGACTATTGATAAATATGATACTCTGTGTACTCAACACACAGAGAAGAAACTACATCCTATTTATAACTGATCTTCAATAAGAAATATGCCTGTCTGGTGAATTAATACAAGTTGTTTATGAGTAAAAAAAAAGATATGTTATTTTTCAAAGAAGACTTTGTTTTAATCTCTGAGTACATATTTTAAACTAAGAGGTTTCAAGGGAGTGTGTATCTTTTGGGCAGCTGCAAATTCCATCTTCAAAGAAACAACCATCTTCTGCTAACCAATTATATTTTTGTAATGGCATGTCTTTATCCTTGGCAGTTTAAAGACATGTTTCTTCAGTTTAACAGCTGAGTTACCTGTGTGCCATTACATGAATGCTTATGAATGTCACTTGTTCAAAGAGCTGACTTCTAAAAAGGTCATGCTTTTCTTGACTAGTGGTTTTCAAGAGGTGGTCTCCACATGTTCATGGAGATTCACATTTGCCAAACGGATGTGACATTGTTTTTACCTTTTCAATAATGTTATGGTGCAGTTATTTCCAATAGGGTATGGAATTTCCAATAATGACACTCTATAGTAACCCTCTCCCCCCACCCCCATGCTCTCCAGATGTGTTGAACTATAGCTTCCATTATTCCTCTAGCCAGCATTTTGGCAATTCCAGGCCGGGGGGGGGGGGGGGGGGGGGGGGGGGGGGGGCTGCTGTTATATAAAGCACTACAGCTGGAAGATCCTTTTATCCATCTGCTTCTATGTATCTCGGAGCCAAGATTCTACCTAAAGGCTGTGTTTTTTTCTGTTGCCTCTAGAACAATGAGTTGCTGCGTGAGATTTTTGACCTTGGCCCCCCACTAGTGCTGGATGCTGCAGCTATTAAGGCCAGCAAGATCTCCCGCTTTGAGAAGGTATGTGGGCAGCTCTGCTAGTATCTCTGTCACATGTTCTATCATGATGTTCTTCTGTGATGCCAGCGGATTGTCTGTCCCTTCCTGGCATTATCACAGACAGTTAAACCACTAGAAAACAGGCTGTTCTGATGCTGGAGCGATGCACAGTGGGGGAAAATATGACTCAACACTAAGTTGACCCAAACTAACTACTAGGGCAGAGCTTTTCAAAAGGTGTTTTGTGTTGTATTAATGTGTCAGCTGCAGTTCGTAGGTGTGTCATATGAATGAAGGAAATGAGAAACCTCTGAGTCAATTGTGAAATAAGCAATAAATCATATATTTTTGAAAAATTGAGAAAGGATTTCATGAGATATATTGTGTCCCCATACATTTTGTTACTACAATGTATGTATGTGTCCATATCTCTTATAAGGCATTGTTTGAACCCCTGGTTGGCTAGTAACACTGAATTACTGTGTCGCAAAATGATGCATGTATTAAAAATGGAGTGTCACCAACATAAAATGTTTGGAAAGCTCTGTTCTAGGTGATATGGGAAGGCCCAATTGCTTTCATGCTCCATGTGTTTATAGTCTAGGAGTTGTCTGTCTGACATCATGCTTGCCTTGGTTGTCACCTTTGCTCTAATTTACAGAACTATTGTGTGCTGGTGTTCTTTCTATAGCTAAGATAAAATAAATGATGAATCCACAATCCGAATGTTGAAACATCCCAATGTTCCTGGACTGTACCTCCCATCATCCTAGCTAGCACAACCAGTGACCAGATTCTCTTCTGTGGATTATTTCCATTCCTGTGGTCTAATTCTATGAGATCCTATCCAGAATATGGTCCCCTGGGCTGAGAAATATACAGTTTTCCCAGTTATTGCCAGTTCAGCTCCAATCAGCCCAGACAATTTTGGAGGCAAGATAGGAGTTACCGTTTGACAGTATATGGAGCTAAACTAATCCCCAGCTGAAGTGTATGCATTACTTGGTACCAAACCTAAGAGAATTTGATCCGGCATGTCTCTTTTTCCTCTGGTTGTTTAAAACATCGTAATCTGAGATTTCCTTTGCAAATGACTCTGTTTTCTCTTGTTTCTCTATTCCCGGCAGCACCTCTACAACTCAGCCGCCTTTAAAGCCCGGACAAAAGCAAGGAGCCGTGTTCGAGACAAGCGAGCTGATGTCCTTTGAAGAGAGTTTGTTGTTTTCTCTTCCTCCTTGTCCTCTTGCCTTCCATACAAGCCAATGAACTATAGACCTGGACCACTGTGAAGTTGTGGATTGGGGGAGAAAGGGGCACCACTTGGGGCAAACGGGGCCCCATTGCTCTTCCTCATTCAAAAGTCAGACTCGTGCCATGCTCCCTCAGCTCCCCACCACAGTCTGGGGGCTTTTATATATGTACAGAATTATATTTAAAATATCCCGAATGTTTGAATTGTGGGTAGAATGGCAAAGGGCAGGTGCCATTTTTATTTTTTTAACCAAAAAATGTAAGCGAGGTTGAGCTGTGGGGGGAGGGATTCCTCCCACCCACTGCTTTTTTAAGCCAGTGATTTTGTTTCTGTGTGAAGCCTCCCCTCCCTGTCTCCGCTGCTGAATGTATTTTGTGGTTGCTCTTGCAACATTTGCCGTGAAATCAAGGACTGGGACTCCTCCTTGTCCACATCTGCACTAGTGGACTTCCCTGGTAGGAGGTTGGTTTGGGGTAAAGGTCCAGGATGGAGGCAGCGAAGCGGTCCGGCTTTAGATTGGTGCCTTGGGTTCTTCCCCACTGGTGTTGAAGGTATTTTGCCTTGAGATGAATGAAATGTATCTTAGAAATCAGTGTAGTTGATTAAAGACTGGGCTGACAGCATCATGAAGGGAGTTACATTGCTTTTCTGCTTAAGCAGTTGCTATAATTCTTTATTGTCAGTGTCATTGGTTCTCTGCCATGCTCTGACCAGTACCATCTATAGTTCTGTGACTTTTTAACCTTCAGCTTTGCTTCACACTCACACAGACACTTGTTATTTTTTTTTTCCTGGAAAACCACCCTACTGCAGTCACTGAATGAGAAACCAAATAGTGACAACCAATTTCAACTAACATAGCCTGAATCCCATATGTAACATTCTCACACTCTTTCATCCACACACACACATTAGGGCAAACCTTATTGGCCAGAATGGAAACATGGACTTCTTTTAGTTACACACACCGTGAAATTAATTGAAAGTGTACCTTTCTCCTGATAACCTCGTTCCCTGAAACAGTGGTTTGCGCTTCTCAGCAGGAAAAGTCTGCATTGATAGTTTTTACCTTAACATATAGAAAGATGAGAGGCAATGTGAACAAAAAGTGGAATAACTTATAAAATCTATTCTTTTACCAGCATCAGTGTGTGGGGTCATGGAGTTTATTGGTGGCAGGAGAAGTTGTGTATCGTAGATGTTTGCCAAGTCAATAGGAGAGTGTCCTGTTGAAGGCCCTGCTGCCAAGTCTGTGTACAGCACCCTTTCTGACTGTGCATCTTCCAGATCCAGCCAGTTTTCACCTGTCTAAACAAGGAACACCTGTTTCCTCATGGAACAAGTTATCTTGAGCAGCCATCCAGAAAACCTCCGAAGAAGAGGCTGTCTGCTCCAGCTTGTATCAAACTACATGGCTATTCCCACCTTTCCACTTGGTTGGCTAGGATTTTCAGCAGATTTCTGATTTTCAAGGGCCACTTGTGAACCATGGCTTGATGCATTAGATCAAAGAATTTGTCTGTACCCTGAGCTGTGGTCAGTACCTAAAGACCAGCTGAAATCGAGTTGAGTCTAGCATGGCATTTTCAGAATCTAAACTATTATTTTAAATTAAATAAAATCTAGTCTTCAAGAATAAAGCCTTGAGTATATAAAGGTGATTTTCTGCTTTTAAAATCCCAGAAATACTGTTATAAATATGGGTCTCTGCGGCTCTGTAAACTGTCAGTCTGTGGTGGCTGTTGCACTGCAGTAGTATTCTACCTCCATAAGTTCTTGACTGTTTTGAGGGGAAATAACTAGGATTCTATATAAAAAGAATGCATCTGTGTAATTTGCATCAGAGTTTAGGCAGATAGTTTAGATAGCTTTTAAATGTCATGTCATAACAAAAAGAATATGTAACCAAATCATATTTTTGGCAGGCCATTTATTCCTTTTCTGATTATTATTCCAGTGGTGCAGCGGACTGAAAGGTCAGCAGTTCGAATCCAGGGAGCAGGGCGAGCTCCCGCTGTTAGCCTCAGCTTCTGTCAATCTAGCAGTTCGAAAACATGCCAATGCAAGTAGATCAATAAGTACTGCTTCTGCTGGAAGATAACGGTTCTCCATGCAGTCATGCCGGCCATATGGCCTTGCAGGCATCTGTGGACAGTGCCAGCTCTTCATCTTAGAATTGGAGATGAGCACCACCTCCAAAGTCAGGCACAACTAGACTTAATGTCAAGGGAAACCTTTATCTTTATCTTATAAAGAAAAAAAACTTTCCCTGATTTGGTTCAAAGCACACTGAAATCCTCTGGGCCCTTTTAGAGAAGAAAACACCTTGGCAAAATAAAACTTTTGGATGCATTTTCAGTCATATCTGCAAAGCTGCCAGAAGAGTATAAAATAAAGCAGTAAGGTGGAGTATCCCTTATCCAAAATGGGTGGGTCCATAAGTGTGGTGGATGTTGGAATTTTTGTGTATACATAACAAGCTACCTTGAAGATGCGACCCAGGATTAAAACAAAATTGACTTTATGTTTCATACCCATCTTTTCAACATAGCCTGAAAGTAATTTTCCGCACAATATGATTTTGTTGGTGAAACAAAGTTTGTATGCAGTGAGCATCAGAAAGCAAATGTGTCACAAACTCAGCCATGTATGTAGACAATTTTGTGATGTTTTGGATTGGGCTACTCAATTGTTATTGAACAAGAAAAAGGTGTTAATTAAATCTTTCAAAATAGTGTAGGAATACAAACATTCTCTGAGAAACCGATGAGAGGCTGCTGCACAGATAATCCCTTCCTCCTTTATGTCTCAGTAGGATTTCTGAATGACTTTCCCTTTCCATCCTTTGGCAGCCTCCGTGCTCCAGGCATTACATTCACCAGGGTGCAAGGACCTCAGCAAGACTTTCCAATGATTCTAGAGAAGCATTTTTCTTTACCATAAGGCAATTGCCTAGTCCAAACCACCACATGTCCATATTAAAAATATGTCAAGAAATGAGTCCCCCCCCCCCACCCCCCAAGCTTCTCTCCTTTAAGAATGGTAGCAGGGTGAGAGGAGCAACTACCTTGCTCAAGTTTGAACCTCAAGTTCACTGTTATTGAGCTGCTGCCATAGCTGTATGCTCACTGCTCTCATTTGCCGGATGGCCTCCTCTTGTGACTCCAGCCACTGGGCAAGGACCCGGAGGGACTCACGCTGTAGGACTGTAGAGGGAGAAGAAGGCACTGTGTGATCAAAATGCAGTGAACCTTGTTAAGAAAACGAGAACTTGGAACAAAGGCACCCCAGAATCATGTGCCTGCAAATCTTAGCTCCTGGCATGCCCTAGTCCAAGAGGATTGGATGTACAAGGCACTGCTTGAAAATTTGAATTTGGGAGGCTGAATTAAGAATCTGCTGGAGAGACACGCTTGATGCAGCTGCGAGCAGTCTCCAGTGTGACTCTGGTGGCATCATGAGCAGACAGAGCTCAGTGCAACTGATCTGTTGAGTGTCATCTGAGCTTTCCTGCTTTTTCTCTTTTGTCCCATCTAAAAACAATTCCTAATTGCTCGCTTTGTGTCTCATCCTTTGGTACCCAACATTCATGAGTGGACACAATTTTCTTGTGTATTTTTCCACTACTTAATTCAAAGTGTCCAAAGCATTTTACATACAGAGGGTGATTAAGATAACAGTCTGGGTACTGTAATATAATACCAATAGCCAGACTGCACTAGCAGAGGGCTGAGAGACACCAGAACTGGGCACTTGCCAGAGAGCTTGTTGTTTGGATAAGGAATGCTTAGTGCTAGGCCTCAGGCTTCAGCATGAGCCTCCAGTTACTATGTCACATAGATATCTTTGATAGTCTGACCTGTGAATTTACATCTGTGGGCTTTATATCTCACACTACAGTCTGCCCTCCATATTCACTGGGATTGGGAGTGTAGGGCTCCCACTAAAGTGGTAAAAACAGAAAGGAAACACTTTTTACCTGAGAGAACAACACCTAATAAATCTCTAGGTCCTCTGTGGTCAGTGTTCTTTGGAAGTTGACCATTTGGTCAGGCTGGAGGACCTAGAGATAACGGGTTAATCAAATCTGCAAAAGTTAAACCAAATGTAGAGGGCTTACTGTATATCTAGGTAAAAGATATCTTTACATGTTCACATCTGAAAGTTTCTCTAGAAGAAGGATAAAAACTTCAAAGGATAGAAGGAATCTGGCTAGACTAGGCATGGGCAATTTCTTTTAACTTGGGGGCCACATGGTGGGCTGGAGTGGGTTTGGTGGGCCAGGAGGGAGAGGGTGCTTCCCAAGCCCCCTCCCTCCCCTTTCCTCTTCTCTTTTAGCAGCAGAAAGTGACGGAAAGACAGGAAACTTTTGGATCTAACTAGGGTTGGCTTTTGTCAGGATGAGATGATGGACGGGAGAGAAAAAGTGTGTCCATTAGACCCCCGTATTGCCTATTCCTGACATAGAATCCTACAGTTGGAAGAGACCCCCAAGGGCTATCCAGTCCAACCCCCAGCCATACAAGAAAGCACAATCAAAGCACTCTTGATAGACAGCCTCTGCAGAAAAGCCTCCAGAGAAGAATACACCACACTCCCAGGCAGCCTGTGCCACTCTCCAACAGTTCTTACTCTCAGGAAGTTCTTCCTAATCTCAATCAAATCTCTCCCTGCCATTTCAACCCATTGCTCCCTTGTGCCCTGGTCTCTGGAGCAGCAGAAAGCCAGTTTTCCCACTTCCTCCTCCTCTATGAAACACACTTTTACACCTTGAAATATGGTTCTCGTGTTCCCTCTCTACCTTCTCTTTCCCTAGCTAAACACCCCCCAGGAGGAAAGGAGAAAGGAAAAAGATAAGGAAGGGAGGGAAGAAGGAAGGAAGGATGAAAGTCTGGAAGGAAGGGAGGGAAGGAGAAAAAGAAGGAAAGACAAAAGGGAAGGAAGGAAGGATGAAAGGGTAGGTGGTAAGGAAGGGAGGAAGGAAAGAGAAGGAAGGATAGAATGGTAGAGAAGAGGATCTGAGAAAAGAGCCTAAAGGGCCGCATCCGGCCCCTGGACCTGGGTTTGCCTATACCTGAGTTAGACTGACTTAGAACTGTGGTAAGATAGATATGTTATGAGTTTGTAAGTGTGCTCATTCGGATGGAGTGGGGTAGGAGCTGTTTTAGACTTCCATTTTATTTAGTGAACACTAGTGATGGCTCTCCAAAGTGAGGTAACTCTAAAATGCTACCTGTATGTGGCAGTTTCTTTCGGCAGGATCACTGAGGGGACTCCTCAATTTTGTAGCAACAAAACCTTCTCTTAGACCACATGGTCTTCATGCTAGGATTGCTCAGTCCATAAAGTGTTTGTGCCCCATTCAGATGTTCCCAGAAGTCCCCATCCCATCATCCAGGATCCCTTGATGGGCTTTCTACCATTTTTTTCCTCAAGAGCAGCCAGCCAAGCCTTACCACTTAGATAAACAGCCAGCGTGGCCAGACCAAGGCTGGCCACTACAAGGACTCCGAGGAGGACAAAGAAGCCTGTGGGGCAAAATGTGAAGCCGAAACAAGGGCAGCAGGTGAAAGCGTGTAAGATGTTGAAATCCGGGACTGGTAGAAATCCTGTGTCCTCTTCATTTGGGAAGGTGAAATGCTTGGAGGAAGTAGCACTATGTGGAGTCTGTGGGGTGTTGGGTTGAGACCATCGGCTTTCTGAAAGAAAGTGAGAAAGAGCAGAATGCATAGGGGCAATTAAACAGGTCCTGTGTACAAATGGCTCCTTAGTATCACCCACGGCCATTTGAGTCCTGCTTTCAGAATGGAAACCACTGTGGTTAGCTCTGTGAGTCTTTATGCAACATATAGCACTAGAGCTGCTTATGACCTGATTAAGGATATTGGTGAGCACATACCTTCCCCGACCTTAGCACCTTCGTGCCTGCTGGACGCATAGTGCAGATCACTAATGGATTCCACTGCATGCAAGTTGATCTCCGCCATATCATTATCGCTGAGCTCAAGGAGTTCTCTATCTGAGGACGTGGCATCCTTCAACATGGGATCTATCCAGAAAATGACAATTTGGGGAGATAAGAGATAATTATCTGATTGGAACTTTGAAATTATTTTAATGAAGGTAAACCAGGCATAAGAGTTGGGTCTTGGTCCACAACAGCCTAAAGATCACCTTGATTAGCATCCTTTGTCTCTCCCTTGCCTTCAGCCTGTGAACACAACTGTTTCCCACTGCAGCCCATGGAATCCATTATCTCATTGGTTACCATCTATAAAACTGGAAAAGGGAAAATGTGACCCTTGCAGTGCACTACTTTTTCCAATTAATCATCCCATTTGCTATCATTCAGACTCGTAGAGTGTTATTTAACATTATAGGCACAGCGGACTCCGAATGCAGACTTGAAATAAGATTTGCTCAAGAATACAAGTCAAGCAACCCTTATCTGGAATTGTGAAATACTCCTAAATCATCCACATGAATGGCAAATAAAGTGACACATTTGCTTTGTTATGATTCAACGTACACAAACTATTTCATGCTCAAAATTATCCTAAATATTGCATATGTTTATAAAGTATATATGAAACAAATGAATTTCATTTTTAGACAGAGGTCCAGTCTCCAAGATATTTCATTGTGCAAATACAGATATTCCAAAATTTGAAAAAAAAACCAAAACATCTCTTGCTGCAAGCATTACAGGTTAGAGATGCTCAACCTGTAAAAAATAATCTCTAGCATGAAGAAAACATGGGTCTTCATTTGAGGGGGGGGGGCACTCATTAATATGCTTAATTTGTAATGAGAGTCATGCGTCTGCTAAACTTCTATATAGATAATGCTGTTGTATGTCAACCTAATAAGTTTCCATTGTTTTRTACAAAAAGCAAAATTTTGGGAAATTTCCTTTAGGTTGGATGATTTTGGGAGCTCTGTCTTAAACCCTGCATTGGAGGAGTGTTCTCTGTTTAGGAGGACTGTGAAAGAAGGTCCAAATTCTGTCCCCTAGTCCACTAGCCCATCAGTATTTTAAGTCTTCATCACAATATTGGGTTGTTGTGTGTTTTCCATGCTGTATGGCCATGTTCCAGAAGTATTCTCTCCTGATGTTTCACCTGCATTTATGGCAGGTATCCTCACAACCCTCTGAGGATGCCTGCCATAGATGCAGGTGAAATGTCAGGAGAGAATGCTTCTGGAACATGGCCATACAGCACGGAAAACATACCACAAGACAGTGATTCCGGCCACGAAACCCATCACAATATTGTATGGCAAGCGACCCAATGGTGATAGCAGCTTCCCCATTGCCCCTATCTTCTGTGGCAAAAGACAATTCTCAGATTTGGGCTGGGAGAGGATGACCAAGACAATAATATAACCTGGATCTTGTGACCCAGAAGCTATCTCCCATTACTGATCTCCTAAAGCCACTTGGCTTCAACAGTTCAGATTCTGCCTGGTAAGAGGCTACGCAAAGCATAGCTTCCCAGTGATCTGTCCCTCTTGCCCCCATTTGAACTGTTTAGCAAAAGTGTCTCTTTAGCAGGGCAGGAATCCTGGGCCAGGTTCAGTCTGTCATCCAAGCAGTTCTGTGTTGTTATAACTGCTGGCCTTTCCCCAGGTTTTGATGGCAAAGGCTTTGTTGTCAAGACGCATAAGAAATGCAGGGAAAGTGGTGGTGATGATTATGATGGTGATGCTATTATTATTGTTATTTGTACCTTGCTTTCCCCCAGGATTGGGACCAAATGTAGCCCGCAAACTTAAAAACTATACAATTTAATAACTCACAAAATATAAATATTTAAACAGCTATATGGCGATGGCTGTTCTGCTGCCATTCCTGACTCCCACAACCAAGTTTGCACTTTCACTTCATGTTATTAGATTTCCCATTGTCAAGCTCTTTAACTGTGACACATGTAAAAATTCAGGAGGTGTGCATTTTCCTATAGAGAGAGAGGGTCGAAGCTCCACCAGCTGAACTTGTGCTTGTTCTACAGTTGTTAAAAGAGCGGCATCCTGCCACTGCCGCCCCCAAGCTGGGAACCCTATGCTTCAGTAGGAATGCTCTCATGATTAGAAAAGTGTTGCCACGGAGCTCTTGACTCAAATAGCAGATGCCTTGGGATCATATTTTTTCAAGGGCACAAAGGACATAGTCATCGTAATAACACTTTGAGGAACTGTGAAGCATGTTTAGAAATCATTTGTGCAGGGGTGTCATCTTTTTACAAGCAGGATCACATTGCCTTTCCTACATAATGGATAGTCACTGTATACCTCTCTAACTATACGATAAGTCCCGGCATTTCTTGCCATAGTCTTTCTGACCAGGGCTGATGAAAGTGCAGTTCAACAAGAGCTGGAGGGTCACATAAATTCCCACTCAATCTCTATGATAAGCATTCATTATGGGACTACAATGCTTCTGAAACATGGCCATACAGCCCGCAAAACTCACAGCAACCCAGTGATTCTGGCCATGAAAGCCTTCGACAACACATTCATCAGGTAATCTCACTTTCTCTATGAGTGAAATATCTCTTTTAATTATATTTGCCTCCCATCTGCAGAAAGCACAATACATGTTTATACAGCACTGCATGTTTACTGAAAGATCTACAGAGGTTAATAGAGTTTTAATCAGGCTTTTTAAAAAAGGAAAAAAATGGATTCCCTATTTTTAGAGGTGTTGAAAAGGTGAAAGGCGATCCTTCTCGTGCTCGTGTTTAAAGAAGAGTGTAATCAATTATAATAAATGAGCTAGGCTTATCAGCAAAGAGCACATAACTCTGTGAACTGATCTCTGTGTTTGGGACATACAGCCATTAGTAAAATTAGCCCAAGTCATTGTAGCAACCGGGCTGAGGCAAGAAAACCGTACTCAAATAGTCTCGTCATAAGAAAGCTGAATTGCATCTCTTGGTCTTGCCCACAAGGTAACATGCAACATTCATGCATTGAAGGTAGACGGAACAGAGGACAAAGCTGTGTTATGTTTAGCTGTCTTTGTGTAAATAATAATAATAATAATAATAATAATAATAATAATAATAATATAAAGCACACACTCCTAGACACTTGGGAAGTGTTCAACGTGTGATCCAATACAACAGCTGGCAGAGTGATCTTGTTTGCTGTGGACATATCTTGTTGGTTTTAAATAATAATAGTAGTAGTAGTACTGACAGTAATAATATTAGTACTAAAGTAAAACTTTATTCCTATATCCCACCACCCTCTCCCCAAAGGGACTCGAGGCGGCTTACACAAGCCACAAAATGCCTAAAACAAGACATGACATAAAACACAATATAAAATAAATTGAATAAAACATATGAACATGTAACAACATAAAACTCAGAATAAAACAGCGCACTTCTGCCAGTGGCGATAGCTTATGTAAACATGGCCAGGCTGTAAACAATAGGGCCAGGGAATGGGAAAAGTAGAGGGCTGTAATCATGGGACGAGGGCATGGGATAAAGTGCAAGGCTGCATAACAAAAGCATCATAATAAAATACTCTATGGAATTAGCATCCACAATTGTGCTTAAGTCCCAGTGGAGTGTTTACGCGTAAGGCAGAGGACTGCAGCCAGTCCTCCGTATCCATGGATTCTGTATCCACAGATTCAACCATCAATCACTTGAATTTTTTTTAATTCCCAAAAGCAAATCTTGATTTTGTCATTTATGTAGTCATGGGATGTGTACATCTATGGATTTTGCTATTCATGGGGGTGTCTGGGATACTGCAGATACCACGAGTCCACTGTATTTATCACTTTGTAAATGAGAACTGCAGAAGTGGATCTGGTACTGCGGCAGACATGGGCTGGGAGGCAATGTCATCTCCCCTTCCCACTCACCCACCCACCCTCCCCCTTGGATTCTTGGACATTTACTATCCTAAACATGACTTTGTGTTTAAGGATGCTTCCAAAGATGTTTTAATGCAATCGTCCCTCCTCCATTCTAAAATTTTAGGGCAGTCTAAGTGGTGGGGCAAATCCATTCAATTCTTCCACTTGGTTCCAAAAAAAACAGAGAGAGACTTGTTAAGATGGGAAACAATCTTCTTGGCGGCATTATGCTAAAGTAACAACCTTTTAGGCTATTGTAATAAATACCTTAAACAAGTCTGTTTGTGGAACTTTGCACTTTATAGAAGACAAATTGAGTTAAATCTTTTATTATGTGATTTTTTTTAGCCCTGTTGTTTCAATGGGATATATGCAGAATATTCATTGGGATAGTGTCTCAATTACACTACATGGGACTACAATGGGGAACACATTTAAATAATATTCTCATGTATTTGAATTTTTTTGGTAAAATCTTTGAATGGAGAAAGCTGGATGTAAGGACGGAAAGATAGAATCTAGCCTGTTCTTTTCACTCTCATGCGCATTGAATCATATGAACCAGTGGAATTTGAAATGGTTCAGTCATCTCAGTGAAAGCTGGGCTCCCATTGCATGTAATATATCAAAAACAGTTTTCTGGCCTTCTGGAACGTTGCATTTGTTTAGCCTTAAAGCATCAATTAACGTATGTTCAAAAATAAGGGTGCAATTAGAATAATTGATCCATGTTGTCTCAATGTTTACCTCCCACCCCCAATCAACTTAAAGGTAAAGGTTTTCCCCTGACATTGTCCAGTCATGTCCGACTCTGAGGGTTGGTGCTCATCTCCATTTCTAAGCTGAAGAGCTGGCGTTGTCCAAGGTCATGAGGCTGGCATGACTGCATGGAGCACCATTCCCTTTCCGATGGAATGGTACCGATTGATCTATTCACATTTGCATGCTTTTGAACTGCTGGGTTGGCAGAAGCTGGGTCTGACAGTGGGATCTCATGCCATTTCCAGGATTCAAACCTGCAACCTTTTGGTTAGCAAGTTCAGCATCTCAGTGGTTCAACCCACTGTGCTACCGGGGGCTCCAATCAACTTACATGCCAATAAAAATCTTGATGGTTGTTTGAGATTTGAATGAAGAGGTGAATTTTCATCTGCTCTCACATAGTCAAGCTCCACAAGAGGTAGGCTGCTCTCAGCAGTATTCACTAGGCCTGGGTAACAATGCAAAAATTTGTTTCTAAAATCGATTTGTAATTGGGGTGTTTTTTTGTTTCGATATTTAAAATAATTACAAAATTTTCCCTAAAAAAAGTTCGGTATTTACGAAATTTCGTAAATATTTACGAAACGTTTCGTTAAGATGGCGGACCCCCGCGCATGCGCAAAATCACTTCCGAAGCTTCGTTATTGGTGCGGGGTCGATTAGTTAAGGTTATAACGAATCGATTCGTTAAAACGGCGGACGCGTTTGCGCATGCGCAAAAGCGACTTCCGAAACTTCGTTATTAAAAACTTCGTTATTAATAACTTCGTTATTAAATATTTTGGGTTGGCAAAAGGAGCGCACTGGTTGGAACTACACAAATGAGCGAGCACTGTATTATAGCACTTTGTGTTGGCAAAAGGAGCGCACTGGTTGGAACTACACAAATGAGCGAGCACTGTATTATAGCACTTTCTGTTGGCAAAAGGAGCGCACTGGTTGGAACTACACAAATGATGAGCGAGCAGTGTATGTAGCACTTTGTGTTGGCAAAAGGAGCGCACTGGTTGGAACTACACAAATGACAAACGCACACACAGCCACCGAAGACTCTTTTATTTTTTTTAGAATATTTTTTGTATTTTTTTAAGAATAAAAGACAGGTATTTTTAGAAAATATTCAAAAATGGAAACTTAACCAAAAACTGGCCCTGATGTGGACCAAACACAGCCACGAGACAGGGCAAATGAGAGCACACCAACAGAAGAGTCTTTTCTTTTTTTGGAATATTTTTGGTTTTTTTTTAAGAATAAAAGACAGGTATTTTTAGAAAATATTCAGAAATGGAAACTTAACCAAAAACTGGCCCTGATGTGGACCAAACACAGCCACGAGACAGGGCAAACGAGAGCACACACCAACAGAAGAGTCTTTTTTTAAGAATATTTTTGGTTTTTTTAAGAATAAAAGACAGGTATTTTTAGAAAATATTCAAAAATGGAAACTTAACCAAAAACTGGCCCTGATGTGGACCAAACACAGCCACGAGACAGGGCAAACGAGAGCACACAGCAACAGAAGAGTCTTTTTTTTTTTTGGAATATTTTTGGTTTTTTTAAGAATAAAAGACAGGTATTTTTAGAAAATATTCAAAAATGGAAACTTAACCAAAAACTGGCCCTGATGTGGACCAAACACAGCCACGAGACAGGGCAAATGAGAGCACACAGCAACAGAAGAGTCTTTTCTTTTTTTGGAATATTTTTGTGTATTTTTTAAGAATAAAAGACAGGTATTTTTAAAAAATATTCAAAAATGGAAACTTAACCAAAAACTGCCCTGATGTGGACCAAACACAGCCACGAGACAGGGCAAATGAGAGCACACAGCAACAGAAGAGTCTTTTCTTTTTTAGAATATTTTTTGTATTTTTTTAAGAATAAAAGACAGGTATTTTTAGAAAATATTAAAAATATTTAAAAATGGAAAATTAACAAACAAATTCACAAAAAACCGAAGGAAGGAATGAATCCAAGCAAGGAATAATAAGCACTAAGCAGCAAGGAATGAATCCAAGCAAGGAATGAGCAAGGAATGAATCCAATCCAAGCAGTTGCAAGCCAACCCAATGCAAACCCTCCCGGACCTCTTCTCTTCTCCCTCGCCTCTGCAGCAATGAGCTGTATGGCCGCGCGGAGCCGCTTTTAAAGGGCTTGCCGGCCAATCAGAAACAGCCACGGTGCACTGCTTGGGTGCTTGGGAGCGCCGGATTGGCTCCCAGGGCACCAGCAGCCTCCATCCCATTTACGAAACGGGCGGAAGCTCGTTAAAACAATAAAAACTCCCCACCCCCCCCCCCCCCCCCCACACTCCCCCCAAAAAAAACCAAAACGGGCGGAAGCTCGTTAAAACTATGGGGGTTGCCGGTTCGTTATTTTTAAACCCTTCCGGGTTTGAAAATGTGTTTTGTAATCGTTTCGTAAATGCTAAAAATAACGAATATTTAACGAATTACAAAATTAACGAACGAAACCGCCCAGGCCTAGTATTCACCCTGTAATCCCAACATGGTTCAAATCCCTATTCAGGCAAGAATGAGACTCACTTGACAAATTTGGACCAATTACTCTCTCTGTCTCTCTCTCAGCCTAACCTACCTCACAGGATTGGTGTGAGAATAACAAGTGGTGTATGCTCCCTTTGAAGCTCAAGTGGCAAATCAATGAATAAAATGACTTAATTATATAACTCATCATCTTCACTGGAATAATGGTCTTAAGTGGAATCTTGTACTAAAAAGTAGAGTGTGACCATTTTCCTCATCCTTGTTTTCATCATTCTATTTCTCTATAATCCAACGAGGCACACAATTTGCATCTAACCAGTAAAACACTTTTTAAAAAAAATTAAAAAGGCAAATAAATATAGAGTCTGGTGAATATGCAGGGAATAGCAACAGAATGTATACTATGAGTCATTTGTTCAAGCAGAAGTTCCTGTTTGTTGTGCCTGGGACATTTGTTCAAGAATGACATTCTCTTTAAAAAGCCGTGTTGATGCCAACATTTCAGCCACAATTTGGTAGTGTGTAAGGAAGAAAAAAAGAAAGATAATCCATAACAAAGGAATCTGTCATCATGCTGTTGTGAATGGAAACTAAATTTGACAGTCACATTTTTGGAACTGGAATTGCAGCTAGTAAACCAATCCTAATTTCTACGAGTATCAACTTGGTAGTGGGAGGGACAGCTACTTCATGCCTCAAATGCAAGTTGAAACAAAAGCCTGAACTATGATCCTAAATGGTATGTTCTGTATGTATTTACTGCGGCAGGAATGGAGAACAGGTGGCTTCTACATGTTATTAGACCACAGATCCCATCCCTCACCACTGGCTACAACACCTGGGGAAATGGGACTGTGAGAATGGGCTTTCCCACATTTCAATTAGCCACCAAATGTCTGAATCAGGAGGTGGGGATTCCAGTGACTGGCTTGTACCTGACTGCTTTCTGTGTTTGGACTGAAGACGTGGGAGTGACTAATCTGTACTGGAGAGAGGAAGTCAGAGTGTGCCTCAGTCCAATTCATTAACAAATAGTCATTTTTGTCTAATTCTAACTCGTTTGAAGTTGCTCTGCATCAGCAGGGCTCATTGCAATCTCTGCCTGGAACATTTCAGCACTGTACCAACTAAAGCTGCAAACCAGGACACACTATCTTAGAGGAACTTAATTCTGTACCATGTCTTTAACAGCCATGTATTCATCTTAACTACCAACATAATATTTTGTGGGAGAACATGCAGATCAAGAATAGGGCTCCACAGTGACCTACAAACCCACTGCCAAGACACTAGACTTGGAGGACCATCATCCTCGGGTTACGAGAGATTGCCTAGTATAGCACTTTGATTGTCATGGTTCCATCCTATGGAGTCCTGGAGTTGTAATTTGGTGAAGTGTGTATACTAAGAGCCAGTGTGCTGCTGTGGTTTGAGCTGGACAAGGATACTGGGAGGGTTTGAATCCTCATTTAACCACGGAAATCTTCCAAGTGACCCTTGGAAGTCATGCTCTCTCAGCCTCAGAAGAAAGTGATGGAAAACTCTTTCTGAACAAATTCTGCCAAGAAGCTCACATTATATGGCTGCCTGAAGTCAGAAATGATTTAAAGGCAAACAACAACAACAACAGCAACACTGATGTGTATATAATTTTCAGTCCTATGGGCTTAAAGGCACCAGTTCCCTTCTCATCTTGGATGCTAAGCAGGATCAGCCCTGGTTAGTACTTGGATGGGAGACTGCCAATTAATATCTGGTGTCATAAGATATCTTTCAGAGGAAGGAAATGGCAAAATCACCTCTTGAGTATTCCTATGAAATGATGGGGTCGCCATAAGTCAACAGGGAACTTGAAACCTCCCAGACACAGTAGAGGGATATCCAGCAGCGCTGTCTATCAGAGAATTCATAGTCTCCCACCAACTTACAAAGCTCAAGTCTGTGTAACACAGAGCCATCACAGTTAGAGGTATCAAAATACTATAATTTGCATGGTGGAAATGCACTAAGATGCAGTACAGCCCATCATGTACCACATCAAGTCAGCTCAATCACATCTCTTCTTCCAGGCTTTTTTGTGCCCTTTGATCATTGATCTACCTCCACCTATCCGGAGTTGTAGTAGACTGAATTGTTCTATTCCAGATCTATCATCTAACACTTGATGGAGGTCCCATGTCTTTATGATTGGAACTCCATCATAAATACTCATGCAATCTCTCTTCTCAGCCCAGTTCCCCAAGGCAGACCATACCTTCTGCAATCTCAGTGGACATCCCTCTAGCCAGACTCCTCTTCTGATGATTGTTCTTCCAGAGGCAACTCAAGGAGAAAGGGATAACAAGTGCATGAAAGAAGCAGTGAGGGGGTGATCCGGGTCCCCTTGGAATGGAGAGGGAAATAAACACAGGCTCCTGCCTATCACATCAGCTGCTCAGGCTTAAAATAGGACTAGGAGGTGACTAAGGAGGAGCTATAGATAGAGACAGAATAGAAGGGGGGATGGAGAGGGTTTGGCATGAACTATATTAGGCTGGAGCACAACAAGTCAGCTGGGGGATGGAGAGAGACATAACTACAGGCGGGAGTTAAGAATGGGGATGGAGGAGACTTTCTGGGAGGGAGGGTCATAAAGTGACAAATTCAAGGGTACGGACAGGGACTGTGGTAACAACCTCCATGCCATTTCCACATACTGCACAATGTGTTCTGGGTCTCTTAAATTAAGCTGCTGTCTTGGGTGTGATGTTAGTGGGTGAGCCTGACCCATGGCCAATTTTGAAAAAAGATTTAACTGCTATTTCAGCTATACATGGAAGAGGGAGGAGGGGATGCCATCTTGTCCTTCTTCTCAAGTCAAACTAATGCCAGAAAAATGATCTTCATTTTTTCCCTTGTTTTGGATTAACAACTTTGCTCTTTCCCCCACCCATTATAATGCATCTCTCATCTATTAAATACTACATTTACTCGAATCTAATACTCACCTTTTTTTTTTTTTTTTTTTTTTTGCTAAATGACCTCTTCAAACTTACAGTTCACATTAGATTCACGCCATACAGTTAGTGTTAAGCCAAAGCCAATGGGGAAGCTGCTTCAGGAGCCGCACTTGGAGCTCCTCATTTAATTGCCATGGCTCAAGGCTGTGCAGTCTGGGATTTATAGTTTGGTGAGGCCTTAGCATTATTTGGCCGAGAAGGCTCAAGGTCTTGTCAAAATACTTCCCCCGTGATTCCATAATATTGAACTAAAACAGTTGAAGAGCATTCATTCCACAGCATACATGTATTCCAATGTTTTCCTTCTCTGTTGCTGGAAGCTTTGGTGCTTAAACACTTTTGTTTTTAAAGAAGGACTCCTAAGCAAACAAGTGACTGCAATGCACACCTTTTTTGGCCGAATGACCTTTTGCCGCTGCACATTACATTTGGCGGCATTGATTCAATGGCACATTACACTCGGGTAAATACAGGTAATCACAATATTTTGTTGACTATGATATGAAGTGTGTAAGAAGACGGAAGCACAGAGCAATAGCAGGATTGTAAATACATTAGTTACTTAACCTCTCTACAGTAAACAGTCTGTCATTTGTCAGTTAATGATCTCTATTCAGATAAATTCATGTGGTCACATGCAAACCTTTTGTGTAGTTGTTTAGACATAATCAAGAAATGAGTTTTAAATGAGTGGTTACAACCATTAAGTTGGGCTTGCTCCCAAATTAAGCACACCTTCTGAATACCTTCGCTACAGCTCAGAAGGTACACGCTATCAGTACTACAGAAGAATTAGAGTTGTCAAATATACCTTTATTTTTCCAGACATGTATTACTAGACTTGAACACACATAAGCCCCCAGCTCCAGGTAGCTGGGTACAGGAAGGTAACTTATACTAGGTCATATTATATTTATCCATCTGGCCTAATGTTGCTGGCATGATTTTTCAGGGGTGTCCAGCAGAGATCTTGTTCATCATCTGCTATCTGAAGTTGCTATCTGGATGTGCAAGGATGTGTGGACATCTCTAAAAGGCAGCATTTATCTATGAAAATGTTGACTAGCAACTGTAATTATTTCCACTGCAAATGCATAATGCAGTACAGTATAATCCCTGAATCTGAGGAACCTGTAGCATTATCTACCCACATTTGACTATATATATATATATATATATATATATATATAATTTTCAAGGTCCTCCAGGCAACTCTGTAGTATTCTTCTGCTGGAGGTTTACCACAGAGTAATACTGAAGGACCTAGCTATGCCTAGAGAGGTCTCCTCTCTGGCATTTCCTAGGTCCTCCAGAATGACTTTGCAGTATCTTTTTATCAGAAGTCATTCATTCAATAGAGTTCACTATTACCTTGGTTTCACATATTCATACAAAGTCTTGGAACATATTCCTCATAGATACAGAGGTCATATTGTATAGCTGGGTATGTGTCTCCTATTTCCTTACAACTGAACATCACCCAGGAAAGAGAAAATTGAAAGGTTATTCAACTGAGGAACTGGGTTGCTATAAGTTTTTCGGGCTGTATGGCCATGTCCCAAAAGCATTCTCTCCTGACGTTTCACCTGCAACTATGGCAGGCATCCACAGAGGTTGTGAGGTCTCAGGATGCCTGCAATAGATGCAGGTGAAATGTCAGGAGAGAATGCTTCTGGGACATACAGCCTGAAAAACTTACAGCAACCGAGTGAATCCAGCCATGAAAACCAATACAACTGAGGAACATGCACTCGTTGGAACAAAATTCACCAAGACTGCTCACAGTTAAAGTGCTGTATCTGAATGTATAGTGTTCAGAACTCTAGTTGTGCTGTGTTGTTGTGAGGTGATGTGTGGTGTGAGTTGAGTTATATGATGGGTGTGTGCAGAGTTGTGTGATGTGTGTGAGATTGCTGGATGCATGTGAGATATTGTGGGTTTTACATGCTGCGGCTAATTGAATAACCTTTTACAGAGTTCCATTCCAAAAGACGGGACATCCATTCCTCCT